CAAGAAGGGGGAAAGGAAAAGAGCTCGCTGGTCTTTGGTTTCCTCGAAAACGGCTATTCTGAGCAGCAACATCCAAAAAACTTTGAATGAACATCAGGCAAAATGACCAAAAAATGGAAAACACCAAATTGATACTTTTTTGATTCGCAGAAACAGGCTTATTCTTTGAGGCATGTTTGTTACAGGGGCAGCGACGAAGTCGCGACCACTATGCCCATTCCCCAAGTTTTAATGCGAAAATTTTGCCTTGTCAGCAAATGAGATCAGTTTTCGTGTTCAGCATGTCAAGTCAACCTATTACGAAGAATCTTGGCAAATTCTGATATCCCACTCTTTAACTATAAGCCTTGAAGGTTCGGATTCAACACTGCAATGATTTACCCATTCGACCGAATCAGCAAAATGTGTTCGTTCTTTTCTGTGAAGCGCACAGATTCGTCTCCTTTATAAGGCGGTCCGCGTCGAAAGATGACGCAATAGAAACTGTGCTGAGACGCCCTAGTTTCAATCTAGGTCCGCCTCGGTGTTGCAGTGACAGTAGGTTTACGAAGGCCTATTTATTCGTTGCGCTGCGTTCTCGAAACATACTTTCTCTCTGCCTAATGAATCAGCGTTGTTAGTTTGCAAATTTTCGAGTTAAAGAACTCTTGACATCCCAAAAGTCTAATTAGAGCCCATTTTCTCGTTGAAGAAATACTGAAGTGGAACTGACAAGCTGGAAAGAAATGCATATTACCGTAAGCGCCTTCAAACGCTGATTTCAAGTTTGATCTATATTTTGCAAACCAAATTTCTGATATAAGTTAAGCGCTTGAGAAATCAAGCTGAACGAAAATAGAGGTTTTAATATATACGCCCTCTCCTTGAATATACTCAAAACATCGACAACATTAAAACATCAGACTTTCGATCGTGCGTTTTCAGGCGTTTTTGTGCAGCTTTCTGCATCAGTGCTACTTGTATCCTTCCCCTGTCAGTCAAAAGACGTGTGAATCCGTATGACATGCGAATTTTGCACGGATTAGACCCATTCGTCTATGCGCATGCTGAACCGACATGCTGGTCGCGCATGTTATGCAAAATTCTCCAAAAAATGGCTGTAATTTGCTCAATTCTCGCGCAGAAACAATTTCACACAGGCGCTCAGACACGCAAAGAAGAAGGTTCTACCGTCTTGGTTTAGTAGGACGGGCAATTACTCATTTCAAAAGTTGTAAAAACTCAGACGGAAAGAGACTTCTATCAGAAGATTATTACAAAATTAACCTGGTTACTGGATCGAGAATTGATCATGGCTTTGTGACTTCCAAATAAATGTGCTTCTACATAAACAACAGTTTATGTACCTTTGCTTCAACCAAACCGGCTGCTGGAAGGCGGGGCCCCACGATCTGGGCAATTGCTCGCTCCGCAACGCAGTCTTCACCTCCCTCTCGAATATGCTCCCTGATCTCTAGCCTTAATTAGGTCACGGAACCCCGCCCTCCAGCCGCCAATCTGGTTGAAGCAAAGGATACGTTAAACCCAAGTAAGAAATTACCAAACTTGTAGTAAACCTTAAACTAAAATTCTTCTTGGCGTCTTTTCCCCTAGAAGTATGCTTCTCAATAATCATGTCGTTTAATTGCGCTCCCAAAATTTGCAAATATGTAGGCTATAATGTAAGCCACTGGTGCAGCTACTCTTTGTAGTTCTGCCAAATTCTGAAGTCAGGGTAATGGTTACGGTAGGTATCGGTAGGTGACGGGAAAATGTTACTTCATCACAGTGTGGGGTTGAAACTTGGTCTAGTAGTTATCCAATGATCACGAAAACTTTACTGACTTTTCGTCCTTGGCCCTTTTTGTGAGATTATTACGACGAATTTACGAAATTAGACTAATTGCGATATTCGTGTTCGACAAATGGAACACAAATAATCCCACTATGCAAACTCTCGGCCAGATCTGAAGTGAGGTTTCGAACTCTTGTCCCCCAGCAACCTTGCGTACTGCCACGTACTGCCACTCGTTCAACTTCGTCAAAGCGCCAGTCGACTCATTATCAAGTTCCATTCCTTACATTGGTCTAGATAAATCAACTTTTGGCAACAAATCGTATATAATTTCGGATTGTTGTGCGTGTTCTAGGTCGCGAATAGCTTCATTGTTGCTCACAGTTCAATGAATCCTCGAACCTCATTAGTTTTCGAAAAATGCTTGCAATCGTTCTACTTTGTTATCAAGCAGCGGTTTGTGCCAATTGGTAGCTTATACTAAATCCACATGATATGAAAAAAAACTACGGGATTGATTGGTCTTAGTTAACAACCTAATACTTCAATTTATCGTCATGGCTTGTGCATTTTTCGAGTTCAGATGCTCAATTCAAATAAAATTTCAAACCCACGTTTGTGGACTAGAAGAGAGCGGTGCTAGTCAACGTGTAATTTCTTCACTGTCAGATCTCTCTAAATCTCCTTCTCCAAACCTCCAAAAAATTATCAACCCTGGTCAGCTGCTGATATGGGTGTATTAATGAATGGCAAATACGACGATGACTCGTACAAAGCATTAAGTGGAAAGGGAAAGATTAAGTTACGAATAAGGAAAGTCGACTAAGAATGAGTGATGGCAAAAGCACATCTTCAAATCTTTGGCAGGTGACAAGCTCCACCGTTATCTTGAGGAGCACTCAAGTTGACCTCACGGCGCCGTCGCGCAACATCAACCGAGTTACTGTAAGAAATGGACGTCTTTGACATTCGTGTGGGTTTTGTCAAATGGATGAAGAAATGCTATATGACCAGCAGGGACATATTAGGTTGTTGCAAAAATAATGTCCGTTTTGCAAATTTTCACTTTGGAAGGCTATAACTTCGTTCAGTCTCCATATTTTTGAATGCAGTCAAGACCATTAGAAACATAAAATATTTCTTAACTTAGCGCGCTTCTGCCTATACTGATATAGCAAACGGGAAGAAAACCATGCGTCAAGAAACTGAAATCTTTTTTTGAAATCCTCGTCTTTAGGAGCTTACAACTCCCTTCAAGTTTTGTTCGTTTGGCTGGCAATCAGCTTATATTGTAGACGCAAGCCAGTAGTATACGATTGTTCAAGAAAAACTCCAAAGAAGGAGTTTTGCGAAAAGAAAAGTCAAAAATCTAAAAATATTTACTTTTTTGAGTCTACTTGTTGTAGTAAGTGTCAAATTACGGAAATTTGGAATTCTTTGCGCACTGGATAGCTAATTTTCTCTTCAAATATTGTAATTGAAATGTGCTTATTTCAAGCTTAAAGAAAGGGGCGAAGCTTTGGCGATTGCCTTATTCATGAGAAATTTATGACCCACAGAATGTCAGCAGCGATCTATTTCAAGGCGTAAATTTCTCAGCCCAGATATCTCCAAAAATTCACGTAAGCATGCAGTAGGTAAAAAATCTTTATCTTATACAACTGCTATGTTTTCAGAAAAATTCGTTTATTTGCTCCTGAATTGTGGTTAAGAAACTGAAAGCTATGAGATTTCGATTTTGAGTGCGGATGCGCAAAATGCTAGTGAAATTCTCACAGATGAGGATAGCAACTTAATTCCAACACCTTTAGAAAGTACATGATGAGAGCTTCTTAATGATATGCAGATTCTATATCATACAAGAAAGTTTGACGGAAAAAAGTTGTTTGGAATATAGGCAAGACGTACATTATTTTTGCAACAACCTAATAGTCCAAGACCGGCTAGTGCTATTCTTTTACTGTCACCGATCAATTATTGATGTTAACCACTAAATCGATGATGTTGCCATTGAAAGTTTGGTCCCTAACAAAAGAGAAGCAAAACGAGGGTACGATATTTCAAATTGATTTCAATAAAAAATTAAGATTTTTGGAAATAAGCAAATTTCTTGCGAACAACTTTTTAAGAAATATAGATTTGAATGAGAAATCCTTTTGCATCAAAAAGAATAACCTTGATTTTCATCCTTGCTGCAATCAGCTGTTCATTGATACTTTCTTGTCCCACCCCCCCCCCCCCCCCCGCAAACCAGTCATTTTTGCCTGATTCTGTACAAAGTATTACGTCACTTTACGCGTAACCTACGGGATTTTTCTTAGGTACACACCAGCGAGACCATCTCAAAACGGACGCTGCTCTCATAGAAGTCAGGTGAGAGCACAGCACCTGCTCCGATGCTCATTGACAAGTCACGAAGCATTCTCATAACACGAGGGATTGCTCGCTACAAGCCTCAAAATATTCGCAAAGACCCTCAGTTCAGAACATCTGAACTGGGCGAGCGTTACTGCAGGCCTTTGCAAATTCGTTTTTTTTCACTATATAAGATGGAGTTGCAGCTCAGTCTAGCACGTCCTTCTGTCCATGTTGTGCACCGCACAAAGAAAGTTTTGAAGAGAATGAAGAAGATACGACCTTCATGATGATAATTGTGATATCTCCTTTTTGGGTATAAATGATTCAGTTTTCATTTAGTAACATTCTTTTCTCTCAATCTGCTATTCCGAATAAACGACTATACTTATCGTCTTCATCACCGTCGTTATGGATCCAACAAGTGGCGATCAAACCCCGAACCCGAGCCCGAACCCAAACCCCAACATGGACCCCACCCAGTTCCTGATGCTGCAAATCATGGAGCTGTGGAAAGAAGTGAAGAAGAAGCAAGGATCCAGCGAGGATTACGTGATGAACGCACTTGCCACTCGTCTACCAGAATTAAACCATGACCCTGAGAATGGAGCACGTTTGACGTATGGCTGCAACGCTATGAGAATATAATTAAGAACGACGGAGACGTACTGGATGACAACGCAAAAGCCAGGCTGATAGTATCCCGGCTCGACCAGAAGACACATGCCCGTCTCGCAAACACAATCGCTCCTAAGAAGATCGAAGACATGGACTTGCAAATGCAAAAGCGACTTTGTTGAAGCTAATTGGATGCCGTAAGTCAGTTTTCACACGCCGATACGAATGTATGAGGATGAATTACCATTCATCGATGCCATTATCGGACTTCGTCGCAGAAGTCAACCGAAACGTGGAAATCGCAGAATTTGCTGCTATGACTGGTGAGCAATTCAAGTGCTTAATTTTCGTAAGCGCTCTAGAAGATGACGATTGTGTTGCACTACGAACTCATGTACTGGAGAAAATGAAGGCCGAACCGGACACAACTCTGATTGATCTACTGGAAGAGTGCAACGACTACTCGGAATTGCAGTCTCACATTGAAATGATCGCTAAAGCCGAGGTACCACAGGTCCATGCGATTCAGAGGGATAAAAACCCGCAAGTCAACGCGATGCAGCGAGGCGAGAAGCGGAAATCGTCCACTGATCAGAAGCTCAAAGGAGATTTACTTTGTATGAACTGCGAAGCAAGGACCCACAGGACGAGAAGATGCGAGAAGCCGATACATGAATGCAACTATTGCAAGAAACGCGGACATCTAGAAAAAATATTGTCTGCGTAAACTGTTTGTCGATGACGCCAAGGACGTCCGTCACGTCGCCACCTCACCACCTAAGGAGACTAAAGCCTACCGCAACGTGAAAATCAACGGTATGAATATCAAGATGCGACTAAATTGTGGAGCCGAAGTCTCTTATCGATCGCGACATAGATCAAGATTGGCCGACCGAAACTAGAAGAACTCAAACATAATCTGATTGCTGCCAATGGGACCAGCATCAAATGCCATGGACAATGTACATGTGAATACGCGCTAAATGGCATCACTGTAAAAGGCGCAGCATATATCGTTGATGGACCACCTCTACTCGGGATGGACTGGATCCGAAGCGACCGTGCTCTCTACAATATGATCATCGGCTGTTACGATACCAATACAGTGGCATCCACGGAAGATACACTTGACAAGGAGAGAACTCAACTGACAACGATGCTGCAGGAAAAATTCGCGGAAGTGTTTCAACCCGGCTTAGGACATTGCACGAAAATGAAGGCGTCCCTCGTACTTAAAGAAGATACAAATAAGACATTTCGCAAAGCCCGACCAGTACCGTATGCCCCACTTCCTGCTGTCACCACCGAACTGGAACGACAAGTAAACATTGGAGTTCTTTCTCCAATTACTCATTCCGAATGGGCTGCACCTATCGTCTGCTTTAAGAAATCCAATGGAAAACTTCGTATTTGCGCCGACTTTTCAACTGGGCTGAACTACGCGTTAGAACCACACAAGTACCCGCTTCCTACCCCCGAAGATGTCTTCACTAAATTGAATGGTGGACGTTTCTTTACTACGCTTGACTTAAGCGAAGCGTATTTACAAGTGGAAATTGACGACGATGCCAAGCGACTGCATGTCATCAACACTCTTAAGGGACTCTTCCATTACAATCGATTACCTTTTGGAGTCAAGACAGCTCCCGGCATTTTCCATCAGCTGATGGACACTATGATCGCAGATATAGCAGGAGTTGCACATGGATGACATAGTTATCACGGGATCGTCAATTCATGAACACACCAAACACCTCACTGCTGCTCTGCACCGCGTCAAGGATTATGGATTTTAACTCAGAATCGAAAAATGCGCCTTTCTTCAACGAAAAATAAAATATCTGGAATGGTCGTTGATGAAAACGGACGCCGACCGGATAAAGAGAAAATTCGTGCGATTGAATCGATGCCTGTCCTTCAAGACTTATTGCAGGTGCGTTCATTTCTCGGCATGGTTAACTATTACGGAGCATTTGTCTCGGAGATGAGAACTATTCGGGCTCCTCTCGATAATTTACTTCAGAAGAATACCGAATTTAAGTGGACTGAGGAGTGTCAAAAGTCATTTAAACGAGCAAAAACTATTCTTGCATCCGACTTATTGCTAACGCACTACAATCCATCCTTACCAATCATAGTAACCGCCGATGCGTCAAATTACGGCATTGGAGCAGTCATCTTGCATCGTTTTCCAGACGGTTCCGAAAAGGCCATCTGTCATGCCAATCGTACTCTCAACACATCACAGAAGAATTATAGTCAAATTGAAGAAGAGGCTCTTGGACTAATCTTTGCTGTCACAAAATTTCACCGCTACATACATGGCCGTCACTTCATACTTTTGACTAACCACAAACCTCTTCTAGCCATCTTTGGAAACAAGAACGGAGTACCGGTGTACACTGCAAATCGACTACAAAGATGGGCCACTTTCCTTTTAAGATACGACTTTGATATCCAGTACCGCAATACTGTGGATTTTGGACAAGCGGATGCTCTCTCCCGACTGATTGCAGCACATCCAAAAGAACACGAAGACGTTGTCATTGCAGGACTGGACGCCGAAATGCGAATTGACTTGCTGGATCATAGCCGTCAGTTACCGCTTACTATTCACGAAGTAGCTGCCGAAACAAAAGAAGATCCGTTACTTCAGAAAATTAAGTCATTTGTATTAACACAATGGCTGAAAATTTCCCGCGACGCTCAGGAATGGCCATTTTACAACCGAAGAGACCTACTATCAATCGCAGATGACTGTCTACTTATGGGAAACCGCCTAATCATTCCGAACAAGCTCCAACGGAGAGTACTGGACAGCTTGCACACTGCACATCCTGGAGTTGTTCGTATGAAGATGCTTGCCCGCAGTCACGTCTATTGGCCAAACATCGACCGAGACATCGAACTCCTCGTTCGCTCCTGCAATAGTTGTGCTGCTACTTCAAAAGACCCAATCAAGACGGACTTACATTCCCGGAAAGCTGCAACCAAACCGTGGAGTCGCATTCACGTCGACTTCGCTAGACCAGTGAATGGACACACTTACATCATTGTCGTGGACGCTTTCTCAAAATGGCCAGAAATCATCGAGATGCCCAACATTACGACCGGTGGAACGATCCACCAACTCAAGACACGGTTCAGTCGTTATGGAAATCCAAAAGTACTTGTGTCCGACAACGGTTCTCAATTTATATCATTCGATTTCCACGCATTCTGTGACTCCCGAGAAATCAAACACGTTCGAACAGCGCCTTTTCATTCGCAGTCAAATGGACAAGCCGAAAGATTCGTTGATACCTTCAAACGCGCGCTTACCAAACTACAGAGGGAGGAGACGCCAGCCGATGCGCTACAAACCTTCCTAATGCACTATCGTAGCTCGCTAAGTCCGAACCTGGATGGCCATTCTCCGGCCGAAATGTTCATCGGACGTGGAATTCGCACAACTCTGGAATTACTGCACCCGCTAACGAGGAACGTGGTGCACGAGATAAAAAAAATGAAGGAACAGTATAATCGTCACCATGGAACCACTGCTAGAGTCTTCACTCCAGGTGAACTCGTATATGTGAAGGATTACCGAGCAGTTGATAAAACTGAATGGATTCCTGGAATAATTTGCAAGCGAATTGGCGATGTCACATAGGAAGTAAAAGATGATCCTGGAATCTGGATCCGGCACGCTGACCAGATCAAACCACGTGCATCTATGGACTCACAGCTGTAGCCACAAATGATAGTTCTGACACGATTTCCTCGAAACCAGCAACATCTCCGCAGGCACAACTGGATCAGGGAGAAACCACCGCGACACCTTCAACTATATCTCGCCCCACTCGAACCCGACGTCCACCAAGTCGTCTCATAGTGAACCCACGTGCCGCTACTTACCATTATACTTAAAAGAAGAGGTGTTGTGCACCGCACAAAGAAAGTGTTGAAGAGCATGAAGAAGATACGACATTCATGATGATAATTGTGATATCTCCTTTTTGGGTATAAATGGTTCAGTTTTCATTTAGTAACATTCTTTTCTCTTAGTCTGCTATTCCGAATAAACGACTATACTTATCGTCTTCATCACCGTCGTTATGGGTCCAACAGTCCAGTCTTTCTTTCGCCTAAATCGAGGACGTAATACTGATGTGCTCTACAGAGCTGAAGGGAAGTATCCGATTTTTGTGAAATTCGTATTGCTCGTAAGTGCAAAGAATGAGAACAGCATTTATGGCGAGTTGTTTCCGATGTGTCTACCTCTATAATCGTCGCCGAGGGCAACAGAGAATTGCTAACATTATGAAAATAGCCAGAAACCAAGCATCTGACTTTATTTTATCTCAGCTAGGCCTATGCCGAGATGAGGCCGCTTACTTATTCGTTTGGGAGACCCTTCAAGTAAACCTCGTTCGTAGTTCGGCGTTTACTGTCATCTCCAAAATCATGTAAAAACGGCAAACCCATTTATTGTAAAGGTTGAGTTTGAGTTTTTACCAATAAATAGTCTGTTTAGTTTCGAAATAGTGGTTCAATAGGATCTGTAGAATTGTACTACTGAGCTTGGATGGGTTTTTCAATTTTTGTTCAAAGAAAAAGTAAGGTTTTTTATGCATTGAGATGTTTATCCGACTTTTTGAGTGAATGTATGGTCTACAGTTGCTTAGAAAGTGTAGAATACTTCTTTACAACACATGCTGCCAAATATTTTATGCATGAAACATTCACGCAAACAATCATGGGAGGTCAGGAGACATTGCATGAAATTTTGAAAAAAGAACGTTTGCAGAATAAACAATCATCAAAAGAGGAAGATTTGGAAAATCATATGAAATATATTTGAAGATAAGTAGCCATGAGCACTGTCTCCATGTGTATCGTATTGCCCTTTACTTCTTGGGACAGCCCGGCTTTCCCCATCCGAAGGGATTTATATTGGGAACCTTTCCTGTCTTGTCCTTTACATTCTTCCAGCATCGAACACATGCTGTGTCACATTTGCAAATAGCCGCTGCGCAACCGGTGTTCGTAGCTAAAGAAAGAATACCAGACGCCAAGATAGATCATATCAACTGATACAACAAAAGTGTAAATGCAGATTTATGTTGTGGAGATTGTGCTGAACGGGATCACCCCACTTATCTCATTTTTGTTCTTATCACCTCATTCTGAGTTAGTGAGTTCCGCGAAACAAAATTTTTTAGCGTTCAGTGACGGGAATCGAGAGCACTTGTTGCTGCATCAAATGACAAATCAGTCTAGGATTGAGGTGAAGGAATGCAACCGAATATTGTTCTAACTCTTAGAGTCATTTTAGTTTTTCACGTCACCTCACCTAATACTTCTAACATTTGATGAGCTAACAAATCTTGACAAGAAAAACCACACAATCCGCTTTGTGCGACCGGTTCAACATTTTCGGAAGCACAAAGAGCTATGGACTTATGATATCTTCCAGCTTCTATTTCCTATTCCTCCTTGTCACGCCTTGGGTAACTTATAGGCAGCGGCTCGGCAGAATGACAACTTTGGAATATTTATTGTTCTCGGCTCCCTTGGATGAGCTAAGTCCAAGACTGTGCTTTGCAGCTTCAAATTATAGCAATAACCTGCTTTTCCAGACGTGAAAAGTGCTATTTGGGCGGACGGCGTATGCCTGCCATCTAGAGCGCTATTGGCTCATGAGTGGAGATACCGTGCCCATCCCGGCGGCAATTGGATTGTTGGCTGCAGCAGCCACTTTCGCGACCCGCCCAAACAGCACTTTTCACGTTTGGAAGAGCGGGCTATTGGTATCTTTTGGCTACAGAGCGCAGTCTTGA